ATGGCGATTTAATTAAAAGAAAAAAAATGAGATATGAGAGAGAGAGAGAGAGAGAGAGAGAGAGAGAGAGAGAGAGAGAGAAAGTGAGAGACAGACAGACAGACAGAGACAGACAGATAGACAAACAGACAGACAGACAGAGACAGAGAGAGACAAACAAGTAGATAAAGAGGAAGATATCAAAAATTGATGTGTAAATTTATTGTACAATTATTTGATGCGGGATCAAAAGTAAAAAAAAAGCCTATTGACTGACAATCAAAAAGAATATATTCTATGCATACGAATTTATTTACATAAACATATTAAATCGCAACTTTTTTGTTGTGATTTTATTACCAATAACGAAAGATTGGAGAAAATTAATAAAACTTTTTAATGGTACATACAAAGTTCAAAAACAAAAAATAAGAACAGCACGTAATAATATATTAAATATATGAATATTTGCGAATATATATACGTACGTACATATGTATGTATAGACTCAGTGACTCTTAAGTTATATATAACAGATGCAATTATTAATTTCGCGTTAATATCTGTTAATACTATATATATAGTAAGTGTAAATAAAAGGACGTTAATAAGCTGCATGTTAAACTTTTAATTAAAATTTTGTTTAGACATTTTACTTATGTATGTATTGTAATTCACTTATCAAATAGAAAACAGACTAAATGTACAAATGAAAAATAATTTGTAATTTGTATTCAGTCTGCGAGAACAAAAACAGATATTAGATAGATGTTTTGGAGGGATGAAAGTAAATTTATATGTATGTAGATTACATAGTAAATACTTAGACATTCTTTATTCTTAAAACATTCTAATTTCTATGTATTTATTTTCCATCTGTCACGTTATTCGAATATATTACATATTACATTGTGAATATATACATATATTATAATTATATACAAAGTTTAATAAATTATGTACAAATAGTTTTTGATCACACTATATATATATATATATATATATATATATATATATATATATATATACACACACACACATACATACATATTGTACATATACAAAAATCGATAATCATTTAAAAATGATCATATTTTCAAATTAAAAATTTGAATAAATCCAGATACATATTAGTCGTTTGTAATTTAGACGCAAATCTTTGGGGAAAACAGAACTTATGTATGTATGTACTTTCTAGGTTAGCAAATTATTATTTGAAAACAGCTATTTCTTGATTCCAAGTATGACTACAACAATACGAGTGCAAAAAAAGAAAAATAAACAATGATAGATTGTAATTTTATTTCGTAGAAATATTCGACACAACATTATGTCTTATACTTATCGATTCATCGTTTAATACGTTATAGTAATTTGTGTCATGTGCGACTTATTCGATTGTTAACAAATCAACCTGATCGATTTAACTCATTTCTACGCAGTAACTATTTACATATATAGCTACATAGTTACGATTTTCAAGCAGACATTTTATATTTTATGATGCAAGCTGCAATATTTTTATTTTACGTGGTTCTAGAAAACCAGTAGACGTCTGTATTTATATCTGTGTTACGTTCGATTTTGGAAAGAAGTAGAATATCAAGTACATATTTGTCAAGCGAGGCCGATTCATATCGTACGGTGACATTGCTCGAATTGTAGAAAGATATTTTAAAAATATGTATAAATATTTATCACTGTGCCAAGAAAGAGAAAAGTTTCGTGCTCGGCTTATTGATGTAATAAAGCAGAGAAGAAAGAGAGAAAAAGAAAAAGTGTTTTATAAGATTGATACGTGTATAGATGAAATAGGAGAAGGAGAGGAGGCGGAAAAGAACATAATTGTAGAAAATAACGATGATATTTTACGGTACTACTATTATTTGACACAAGGCATCGATGATACTTACGTAGGATCAATGGATGCCGATCTTTTAAAAAATATACTGAAACGTATCCCAACCAAATGGAAAGACAAATTTAAAGAATCAGTAAATCGTTTAGTGAAGGAAGTGAAGGAGGGATACATATTGAATGTGAAGAAGTCAGTTATAGAATTCGTTATCGGAGACTCGATATACTCTTCATTAGGACAGGTACGTTCCGCATACACCGTTTTTTTAATTTATAAATTTCCTCGTAAATTGATAGATATTCACAGTTGATAGATATTCACAATTGAACAGTGGCTCTGGTTATTGAGTCGGCAGGATCCGTGTGTCATTGAGGATTCTCGAATTCTGTCGACAGAGAATATATTCGTTTTCTACTTGGCTTTTATTACCAAGTAATAACAATAAGTGTGATGATAATTGTAATAACGTCGTATTGCACATTCCGCATATTAATGAAGTCACTTAAAGGACTTGATGTATTAATTGACGTATTAATCTCTTAACATTTATCTATTGACGGAAAGAGAGTGAATGAGAATAATAAGATAGAATGATACTTTGATTTCTAGTTTACTGCATTTGAAAAAAATGAACAATTCGAAAGAATACGATTTCCGAAAGAACACGAAGTTAACTATCGATGGAACAGAGCAAAGCTTGAAAGAAGAATTATATTATATCGTCCTGTTGTACGACGAATTTTCGACTATTGGTATCGCGAATTCAGGTTGGTTTCTTATTTAATCAAAAGCTATTCACGATTGAGTTTCTTTGCACAATTTTCTCCTAATATCGAATGTAATAAGGTCTCCTTTCTTTTTTTGTAATAATCAATTGTATAAGTTTGGATAACACTAATCTAAACAATGACAAATTAAACCTGTTGCTAGAACATAATTGCCTACTGTTATGCACTTCAGCCTAATTAATCAACTATTTGATATAATAGTGACTGTAAACTCATAAATGGAAGAGAATTGGCAGCACGCGAGACATCGTACGATCTTGGCAGTTTCGAAAGAATCATTTCAAAGATGTGCTCTGGAATAAGAGAGGAACTTGTAAAGCATTGGTTACCGAAAATTCAAGGAATTTTAATTGCGGTATTACGTAACATTATATATATATATATATATATATATATATATATATATATATATATTTATTTACCCGCAAAGAATTCAGATACTCGATAAAAACTTGTACATAATGATATTTTAAACTGTTACAAGTGATGAAAAAAATTGTACAACATGCACTCGCAGTTCGTTGTTTCTCAAAGACATTTTAACATCATGTTGAAAACAGAATGCAAAATTTGGGTACTTAACTTTTCTTCAAAAAATTTATAAAGATTCAAACGTTTGTAAAAACATAGAAAATTTTGTTTGTAACTAAATCCACTGAATTAATCTTGAAGATTAAAGTTTCTCCTTATTTCTTTTTCGTTAAGCAAATTATTAATTAAGCAATGAATATCAGAGTTACGCGATGAAAATTCACGAGATAGAATTCCTTAAATTTCTGTCGTTCTTAATCCTAACGTGTGACATGCATATATACACAGATGGATCGTTATTATTCATTACGTAAAAATCAAAATATTACAATATAAGACATTATATGCATAAAAGGATGTAAATTACATCACGTAATATGTATGATATATTAAATTATTTTCATATATAATTACACAAGATACGTAGATATTTTTTTCATGGAAACTGTCGAGTTGCTGTTTGAAAATTTTTGCTGCATAAAAAATAGGTCCTCTGTCTGAAAGATCCAAGATGTTTAATTAAAAAAGATGTTTCTCCTGAGATCAGAGACACAAAAAAGATTCGATGAACGCTTTAAAAATATTTAAGTAAATTCGATTGATATGGAAAGACTGTATTGTACTAGCTTACTATGATAAATGTGATATTACGTGTATCTCAATTCTTTTTACGATGCACGACTGGCCAAGTTTTGAGGAAGCATATTATAGGAAAAAGAATCTTTTCTTTTTTTTTTTTTATTAAATAATACGCTGTATGCAAGTATGAAACATAACTATTTAAGCCGTTTAAAGGGGTATGTAGAAATAATACATGTCTTATTTGGATCTAGGCATTCGAACGAAACGAGTTACCATTGACAGTGACAGGTGACACATCAGGTTATCGTCGATTTTTCAATTGTATCGGTTTCATTATGGAAGGTCAGTTGCGAGAAGTTTATTTGCGCTCTATAGAAGAATATCTCGATTATCTTTACAACAGAAACGTAAGTGAAAAAAATCAAACTTTCTCAAATAAAAATTTGTCACTTTAAAGTTCAGTATCATTTATTATCACCCGCAGAATACGTGTCGCGGCTTTAACATCAAGGTGACGGTACGAAATTCAAACACATTATTCGAACCAACATTCAAAGTCTTTTCAGAAACATTTTCAACGATACTGAATTTATTGGGAGAAACAATCAGTACACTTCCACGTATCGAAACACTACTGAATATTAGCTCAATCGTTATCGATCGAAAATTACTCCAGGTATTTTTCAAATAATTCTCTATTTGTTTTTCAAATATCTACCTAATAGATTTTCTCGTTATCCTTTGGATAAACATGCGATTAATTTATCATAACTATAGCCGTATATATCGCAAGAATGTTTAAAGAAACATGCAGAAGAAATTGGACAACTGATCGATAGAGAGAAAGTTGGCCCGATCAAGCAGCTGAGTGAATTTGAAAAGTATGCCACTTTTATAAACGATTCAGAAACCGATAAAGTACAAGAATTCTTAAGATATGATACAGCTGAAAATTTTGAAAAGTATCACACCTTAATCGCAAATTATGATCGTTTGTCCCGTTTTGTAAAAGTCGAGTATAATCGAACTTATTTTGCTGGGTTCTTCATTATTCACCGTGGAGAGATTATCAAGTATATCGCCTCTGTAGCTTTGAAACTTAAAGAGGAATTGATTGGTAAAATGATCAGCGAGTATCAACAAAAATCTAGAGCGTAAGCGATTATTCCTTTTTACTGTGATATGTACATACATTCTAAATATATTTATACATTTGCGTTATATTAATTTTATAATACCAATATCAAACTAAAACTAAATATTGTAATATCTGACATTAGCATAGGGAATGAATATCAACGCATCGTAGATCGTGCGCTAAGAGTTCCAATAAATACCAGGGAATTGATTGATCTTCGAAAATTTATAAATATCACGGAAACAGAAACTGCTAGTGAACTTGAAAATCGACTAAAAGAAATTATCAAATATATACTTGTTTTATCAGATTATTCCATCCTAAGTCCTGTTGAGTTGAAAATCAATAATTTTGCTTTTCAATGGTAAGTGTGATAAAGTGGCAAAGAATAGAAGAAGAAGAAGAAGAAGAAGAAAAAAAAGAATAAATCAAACTTATTTATTGAACGTGACACAAGGTATTACAAACTTGCGGATATCTTCGAGCAACACCGAGCGATAGTTATGAGTAAAATTGGAGAGTTCCAAAATATCCTTAAGAAAAAGATAGAACAACTTGAACGAGAACTTGAAATATATGCGAAACATTGCAACGAATTACAATATTGGGGTAACATCGAGGAAATATATCGATATAAGAAGAAAGCTGATCGCCTGGAGAACAAACTGATCACCGCGATGGATACAATTGATGAATTTAACGAAGAAGAGGAACTATTTGGTTGGGAACTGTCTCAGTATCCTTTACGAAAAACAGTAAGTTACATATGCAGATATAGCAGAATAATTACACGTATAAGTAATTACCGTATAAGGTATGTATATATGTACGTGTACGTGTACAAACATATAACAAAAAAAATTGTTGCTATCACCGTTGCGAGGTATGCTCGTAATTTTACGCATTTATGCGGAATGTCTATTAACATTAATGTTTGTTAGACAGCGGATAAATTGGTGCCATATAAAAGATTGTACGATACGACATGCGAATTTTTAACAAACTATGACACGTGGATGAATTCGATGATAGGTTCTTATGAACCAGAGGCGATCGAAACAGCGACAGCAGTTGCTTACAGAACAATCTACAAGTTAGAAAAATCTATACAAGAACCAAAAGCAAAAAGGCTCGTTGAAACCATACGAACAAAAATAGAAGAATTCAAAGAACACATGCCTGTAATTGCTACTCTTGGAAATCCTTCCCTAAAGAGTCGACACTGGGAACAAATATCGGAAATTGTTGGTTTTCCTATAAAAGTTGACGAGTCGATGACGCTTGCCAAAGTAACACATATTCTTTTCCTTTTTAACGAATCTATTCGAATCCGTTCGAATCTGTTCGATTCGATTATTCGACGACGTGTTTCATATATACATATATATATAGGACGTCATATATATGTAGGACGTAAAACTGTATACTTTGCAGATCCTCGATTACGGTTTAGCTGATTACGTTACAAAATTCGAAGCAATATCGGAAGCAGCAACAAAGGAAGGGAACTTGGAAAGAGCACTCGCTCGAATGCATCTTGATTGGACAGAAATCGCATTCGTGGTTAATCCTTATCGCGATACAGGCACCTACGTAATTGCAAGCATTGATGACATACAATTACTTTTGGACGATCACTTGATTAAGACTCAAACTATGAAAAATTCTCTTTACATCAAACCATTTGAGAAGGAGACTTTGTTAGTAACTTTCAACTATGTTTATTTTGCCGATTCCACTTTGCACCGCGTTGCATCGCGATTCGGGAATATTCGCACCAGAATAACCAACAGATAACGATTATTTTTCATTGTATTATATATATATATATATACACAGAGATTGGGAATCGAAGCTACTCTTGTTACAAAGTATCATCGATCATTGGTTGCAAGTCCAAGCAATATGGATGTACCTTGAGCCGATATTTTCGTCACCTGATATTCAGCAGCAAATGCCAGAGGAAGGACGACGTTTCAGTGCTGTGGATAAGGTATACCAATGTACCTGTTGTTTTCGTAATGTTTTCATTCTTAAGCTTGCTTGTTTGATAATTTAATTTCCATGCAAAAAGGCAAGGAAAATAGTAAAACGGTGGTTATTAATTACATACAGATTTGGAGAGAAATTATGTCATCTGTAGCAGCGGATCCTCGAGTTATGTCGGTCGTTGAAATCGACAAAATGCTTGAACGATTGAAAAAATGTATAAATTTACTAGATCTAGTACAAAAAGGACTTACTGCCTATTTGGAAAAGAAAAGATTATATTTTCCGAGATTTTTCTTTTTGTCCAACGATGAACTTTTGGAAATATTGTCAGAAACAAAAGATCCTACCAGGTATAATTTTAAAATTTTAGTTCATATTGTAATCGATTTGTTCTAATGTAATTCATGTATGTATATATTCTAATGTAATTATACGTGAACATTTGTTGACTTTTGTTTTGTCTCGATGTATTGTATTAGAGTACAGCCGCATCTAAAAAAATGCTTCGAAGGAATTGCACAAGTAAACTTCACGGTCGATTTGGAAATAACAATTATAAAATCCTCCGAAGGAGAGGAGATTATTCTCCAAGACATTATCGACACAACGGCAGCTCGTGGTCAGGTTGAAAAGTGGTTACTCGAACTAGAATCCTCGATGAAGAAGAGCGTTAAAGCACAGGTGAACAGAAATCGGTGAAACGACAATGTATCTGCATTCCCATTAAAATTCCGTTAAGAAAAAAAAAAAAAAAAAAAAAAAAAAAAAAAAAAAAAAAAAGAAAGAAAAAGTAGAAGAAACGAGAGAAATACAAAAATATGAAATATTATTTACACTTTGAAAGATTTCCAGAATTTAGTTCCAACATCTTTAATAGGTGGTGCTAGCAAAGGATGCGTATTTAAAGCAAATCAGATCAAAATGGGCATTAGAATGGCCTGGTCAGACTATTCTCTGTATAAGTAAGCTTTATTGGACAGCTGATGTGACGGCAGTGTTGTCTAAGATGGATTTGATGGATTTGAAGAAGTATGTCGACAATTGTACGAACGAATTGAATGAAATAGTTAAACTAGTACGTGGTACATTGTCAATGCAAAATCGTATAACATTAGGTATGAAAGGATACGTTGGGACATAAAATACATACAACTAATGGAAATTAAAATTCAAAATTTCATTATCTTTATGCGATATATGTACATATACATATATGGCTAATTCAATTAATATACAACTGATTTCAGAGGCATTGGTTACAATGGATGTCCATAGCCGAGATGTTGTAGCAGAATTGTACAAAGAACGGGTCATCACTGCTACTGATTTCAAGTGGTTGGCTCAATTGAGGTACTATTGGATGGTAGGTAAAAATACACGGAAAAAAGTAAAAAAAGTAAAAAAAGTAAAAAAAGTAAAAAATAGTATCGTTGCGTGTACATGTACATATTTACATAATACATCGTCGTGTATGTATGCATATATATCCATTAGTATAATTTTATAATTTATTCATGTACTGTCTAGGACGAAGATTTATGGTCAACGATGATAAATACGTCGTTAAAGTATGCGTACGAGTACTTGGGTAACACATCTAGATTGGTCATAACACCGTTGACCGATAGATGTTATCGAACGCTGTTTAGCGCGCTAAGCTTACATCTTGGCGGCGCGCCCGAAGGTCCGGCGGGAACTGGAAAAACCGAAACTACTAAGGACTTAGCTAAGGCTGTAGCAAAGCAATGCGTTGTATTCAATTGCTCGGAAGGTCTCGATTACATCGCTCTGGGTAAATTTTTTAAGGTAAATTGTTGATTAATTTAGGTCTATTAATTCCATCTGTTTCAGTCGAGTTTGTCATATGCGTATCATATGTACAATCATCATATAATTATATAATATGATACGTTATGAGCACAGTCAGTAATGCAATGACAAATGTGAAAATCTTCTGTAGGGATTAGCAAGTACTGGAGCGTGGTCTTGTTTCGATGAATTTAATCGGATAGATCTCGAAGTGTTATCAGTAGTGGCTCAACAGATTCTAACGATTCAACGAGCTATTAACGCTGGATTGACCAAGCTAGATTTCGAAAATACCGAAATCAAATTGGATCCTACTTGTGCTGTTTTCATTACAATGAATCCTGGCTATGCTGGAAGAACTGAACTTCCCGATAATTTAAAAGCCCTGTTTCGTCCAGTAGCAATGATGGTTAGTACGGAATAATTATTATAAAGAGAAAAACCAAACTGCCAAAAAATGTGGAAAATAATTTTTATTCATTTTTTAGGTGCCAGATTACGCTCTGATAGCTGAAAATACATTGTACTCGTATGGATTTTATGAGGCACGACCGCTTTCAATAAAGATCGTAACAGCTTATAGGCTATGCTCGGAACAACTGTCGAGTCAAAATCATTACGATTATGGGATGAGGGCAGTAAAATCTGTTCTGATAGCTGCTGGCAATTTAAAAATAAGATATCCAGAAGAAAATGAGAATATTTTAATATTGCGTAGCATCAAAGACGTGAATTTGCCTAAATTTCTTGGCGAAGACTTGCCATTATTCAACGTATGCATTTATTGAGCTCCTCTCTCCCTCTCTCTCTCTCTCTCTCTCTCTGTTTCTTCATTTTTTCAATTTCATATTGTCGATTTGTTCAATTTAGGGTATCATGTCGGATCTCTTTCCTGGTATTGAACTTCCAGAGCCAGACTATACCGACTTGAATACATGTATTTATGATGCTTGCTCGGCTTCGAATTTACAATGTAACGCCTGGTTTTTGGAAAAAATACAACAAATATACGAGATGATGATCATTCGACATGGATTTATGATTGTTGGCTTTCCATTTGCTGGAAAGACAGCAGCGTATAATGTTCTGGCTAACGCGTTAAAACTTTGCGAAGAACGAGTAAGTTATTTGTTCGTTTGCAAGTTTAAATAGTATGGTTTTACTCGTTTTCTTTTCAAGAAAAAAAAAAATATATATATATAAGTATATATGTATATTTCAGAACCTGATAAACGAACATAAAGTAGAAATGTTTGTAATGAATCCTAAAGCTGTTACATTGGGTCAGTTATATGGGCAATTCGATCCGATATCTCGCGAATGGTCCGATGGTGTTTTGGCCATCAGTTATCGTGCTTTTGCAACATCGACCAACGAAAATCGCAAGTGGTTGATTTTTGATGGACCGATAGACGCGGTATGGATCGAAAGTATGAACACTGTACTGGACGATAACAAGAAACTTTGTTTAATGAGTGGAGAAATTATTCAACTAGCACCGTATACAAATTTGATATTCGAAACGATGGATTTAGAACATGCTTCACCTGCCACAGTTTCTCGCTGTGGTATGTTTTCCCCCGTATTATTCCATTTGTTCTTTTCCAGCTGGTATTCTTCTTTCACGTAATTCATCAATCGTATTTTGTCATTTCCCTGGGACGTAGGAATGATTTACATGGAACCAGACGCACTTGGTTGGAATCTTGTGCTTAAATCTTGGATAGCTGATACCCCGCCTGTGATAAATACGTGGTTAAAAAACTTTCTGTATGAGTCGTTATTTCAAAGATTTTGTGACCCTATAATTCACTGGTCACACTATGAATATGTTCAGGTTTTCATTCTTAATGCCTTTCGTGTATTGCGTTATTAGTTTACGTAAATACGTATATCGTTTATTCTAGTTCGAACGTTTTAGCTTTAACGTTTCAATATTACAGAAAATTTGTCCAATGCCGGATACAAATCTTGTGCGTTCATTGACGTATCTAATGGATTGTTTTCTCGATGAATATCGCGACGTGAAAGTTGCCAAAGATATCGACGAATTGGATCTACGAGCACAACTCGAGGTTAGACTGGATCGTGTATACATATATGTATGTACATATGTACATACATATGTATATACATATTTATATGTGTTTTGAATAATAAAAGCAATAATAATAATAATAATAATAATAATAATGATGATGATGATGATGATGATGATGATGATGATGATGATGATGATGATAACAATGACGATAGCAGAGATAGTAGTAGTAGTAGTTTAAATTATTTGACTATTTTGTTTGAGACTATTTTGTCCTCATCAATCAAAGTTGAAAATTTTTAGGGTTCATTTTTCTTTTCGTGTATCTGGGGACTAGGAGGTACACTGAATGTAAAGTCGAGAGAGCAATTCAGCGTTCTCTTTCGTGGCTTTCTCGAAAGAAATTTTCCTTTAGATTTAGTGGAAATATTCGGGTTGCCGAAACCAATAGAACCACCTTTAAAACCATATATATTTGTTATGCCACGAGATGGTCTTGTCTTTGATTACAGATTTATTAAAGAGGTAAGTTGAAGATGATTGAAATTAAGTAAGCTGTAATAAACGTGTAATTTTTTAAATTTATCGGTGGTGCTTGCGATCAGGGCAAAGGAAAATGGAAACTATGGTCCGATGAATTGCTTGACACTCCACCGATTCCTCGTGACATTCCTGTGAATCAAATAATAGTACCTACCATCGAGACGATACGATACACAGCCCTATTTCGTTTGTTAGTGGCTAACGGGAAACCAGTGCTATTCGTAGGCCCTACTGGAACTGGAAAGTCGGTCTATACCATTGATTTTTTATTAAAGAAAAATAATCCTGCAGTGAATAAACCATTAATCATAAATTTCTCCGCACAAACTACGGCGAATCAAACCCAAGATACGATTATGGAAAAACTGGATAGACGACGCAAAGGTGTTTACGGAGCGCCTATAGGTAAACGGTGGATCATTTTTGTCGATGATCTTTCAATGCCAATGAAAGAAATTTACGGAGCACAACCTCCGATCGAATTGTTACGTCAATGGCTAGATCACGGAGAATGGTAAAAAAAGAAAAGATAAGAAATGATTTTGTTCTCTCTCTCTCTCTCTCTCTCTCTCTCTCTCTCTCTCTCTCTCTCTCTCTCTCTCTCTCTCTTTTCTTTATGTGTACTAGACTAGACAACGACATTCATTTTTCCGTACGTCGCATCGGTGTTGGAAACTTGTTACAGGTTCGACAGAAAAGAGAAAAGTATGATAAAATTGATCGATGTTCATCTAATGTGTGCTATGGCTCCGCCATATCGTGGTGGAAGAGACGTTACACCTCGATTTAAAAGACACTTTGTCGTTTTAACGATATCGGAATTCGAAGACGAAGTAATGACTATGATATTTAGTAAAATCGTTCTCTGGCATCTTGATACAAGGTTTGTACAAATTTTCCATATATATATATATATATATATATATATATATATATATATATATGTATATACGTATACATATATTTTACACACATAACGTGTGTGCGTGCGCGCGCGCGCGCGCGTGCATCATTGTTCACTGTGTAGGCAATATATTCTGCAATATATTCTACTAATTTGCAGCAGACGTGTTTCTCCTTCTTCTTTTTTTTTCTTCTCTTTCTTTCCCTTTCTTTGTTTCTCTTTCTTTGTTTCGTCCATTATACTTTATCGTACTTTCCTTCTTTGAAATTAATGTTTTTTTCTAGAGGATTCAGTAAAGAGTTTGATCCATGCATCGATGAAATCGTTCTTGGCACGTTGGATATATATAAGGAGAGTCTCTCGAATCTTTTACCAACGCCGGCCAAATGTCATTATGTCTTTAATCTTCGCGACTTCTCCAAAGTGATACAGGTATCATTTTTCTATCTTCTAAATCGTCAAACACTTATTTGATTAATGTCAGTTTGTTTAAATCATCAAAATCGATATAAATCTACTTTTGATCCAACAGGGTGTTCTGTTATCCGTCCCAGAAACTATGCCAAGCTTAGTCAACATGAGAAGACTCTGGGTTCATGAGGCACTACGAGTTTTTGGAGATCGTTTGATAGACCAAGAAGATATCTCTTGGCTAGTGAAGCAAATACGCCTTACTTTGAACAGTCGAATGAACGTGTTAATGGAAGAATTGTTTGAGGACCTTTTACCCTCGCAGAAGGGAAAAATCTTGAATGACGAAGTAAGAAATAAGCAAAGAAATCTAATTTTCCAACATTGACGATATAATAGGTAACGATACTCTATCTGTTTCTATTTTTCCTATTGAACTCAAGTCACAATCACAAGCAATAATCACCGAGCAAGAACTTCGGAATTTAGTGTATTGCGACTTCGGGGATACAAAAATAGATACGCGACTGTATCAAGAGGTTTCAAATCTCGAGCAATTACGAGAAATAGTAGAAACTTATTTGGCTGAATACAATGCAATGTCTAGAAAGCCGATGAACTTGGTGTTATTCCGGTAAATGTGACAAAATGATGATTTCTAAATATATAGTACTGGACCGAATGTAAGAGATTTGAAATGAACAACGTATGAAAAAAAACGTTAGGTTTGCTATTGAACATTTGGCACGAATTTCCCGTATTATCAAACAACCACGAAGTCACGCGCTTCTCGTCGGAGTCGGGGGTACAGGAAGGCAATCGTTGACCAGGCTAGCCTCGCATATATGCGACTACGATGTTTTTCAAATTGAAGTTACTCAGCAATATGGAACTCATGCATGGCACGAAGATATAAAAGGAATACTGAAACGTGCGACTGCCACCGATCTTCATTCCACTTTCCTCTTTTCCGACACTCAAATTAAACACGAGAACTTCCTCGAAGACATTAGCAATCTGCTTAATTCTGGAGAGGTAAGACAATATCGTTCCTAAACATAAACGCACTTCTGTTTCCTTCTTCTCCTTTTTCTTTTTCTTTATTTCTTTCAAATAGAATTATATGACAATGACGGCTGAAATATCTAGATACCGAATATATTTACTGCCGAAGAACTGGCAGAAATATGTGAACAGATGAGGAAAATAGACAGACAGCGGGACCGAGCAGTGCAAACGGATGGAAGCGCAGTAGCTTTGTTTAATCTCTTTGTCCAGATAACTCGTGATCAACTTCACATCGTGATAATGATGTCTCCGATTGGAAGTAATTTTCGCAATCGGATTAGGAAATTTCCGGCATTGGTGAACTGTTGCGCCATTGATTGGCTCCAGGTATTTGCAAAAGTTTGATACGATCTTTGATTTTGTACATTTTTGACATTTTTCTATAAAGTAACAACAACAATAACAATGACAATTGATAAAAGGATAATAATGACAATGATAATGATAGTGATATTTTATTCAAGCCGTGGCCAGAGGATGCTTTGTTGGCGGTTGCAACTAAATTTCTGTCGACGATCGAATTGACGGATGACGAAAGAACCGCCGGTATTGACATGTGTCAATTCTTTCACGTTTCCACGCAAAATACAAGCGCAGAGTTCTTGATTCGACTGGGTAGACACGTTTACGTCACTCCAATTTCATACCTTGAAATGATAAATACATTTAAAGATCTGTTGACAAGAAAACGAGAGTAAGTAAACGTTGCTGATACGTGTATACATATGTACATACATACATACATGCATACATACATACATACATGCGTGTAGTGTAAGTGCGAAAAGATACGCTTGTGTCGGCGTTTGATACTTTGATTAAGACTAAGATTTCATACCAAATTGACATCAAATGAATTTTTTTTTTTTTTTTTTTTTAACAAACTAGAGAAATAATGATGGCAAAAATTCGATATGAACGTGGTTTGGGCCAGTTAGATGAAACGCAAAAACAAGTAGTAACGATGCAAGAGATTCTTAAATCGTTGCAACCGCAACTAATAACTGCCACCCAAGATGTCGAAAGAATGTTGCAGGAAGTTGATCGAGAAAGACAAGAAGTGGCGGAATTTGAGAAAATTGTGAAAATCGACGAAAGTGCAGCTGAGGTGAGATAAATTAAAATATCGTGACATCGTGACAAATTATTTATTTACGTGATACGACTTGACTCTGTCAATTTTCGATTATTCTACGATTTAACTACGATAAAACTATATCTAATTAATTGTAACTCCGAGTGATTGTATAATTTATTTGATTTATAGATTTATGCGAACGAAGCAGCTGCAATTAAAGCAGAATGCGATGCTGATTTAAGTGAAGCGATGCCGATTCTGAAACGTGCTCAAGCCGCATTAGACACTTTGACGACAGCTGACATCGCCATAGTAAGAGCGATGAAGAAACCACCGCAAGGAGTGAGATTGATCGTCGAAAGCGTCTGTGTACTCAAGGTTGAAAATTTGTTGTTCAGTTTCTATAGTTACTTATATACATATAGTTAGCCGTTAGCCTCGCCAAATCCATTTGTCTTTTTTTATCGCACCACGAACGAAAACAAAAAGCTTGTTCAACCAGACGGATGCGACATTAGTAAATTAGTCTAACAAAATGTTTGAAAATGAGATATCTTAACTGATTAATGTACACGTATTTGTATTGCGACTCGCTTTAACACTTTTTTAATTACTCGATGCATTCACTGCTATTGACAACTACATAGATATACTTTAAAATGATTGTGTTACTACAATCATTTTAAAATATGGTTAAAGCGAGTCTACGGCCAATAATTGCCCTCATCCCTGAAATTATACATTTTCTTTAATCAAAAAAAACATCTTTGTTCGCTTCCAAGTAAACATTGTCATTGCAAATATATGAATTATTGTAGCTATCACTAATACAATAATTACGTGCAATTGAGAGAATGACTTTTATGATCAGACATTTGGAGGAACGCGACGCGCGACGCACAGTGACTGACTGTGCGTCAGTAGCAGCGAAAAGAAAATATTTAACGTATTGACTAGAAACGACGTCTCTCATTTATTTTTATTGTCTGTGTATATTCTCTTCTACAGCAAATAAAACCAGAGAGAGTTCAACAACCTGACGGCACATACGTCGAGGATTATTGGAGGGCAGCTCTTAGAATGTTGAGCGACGTAAAATTCCTCGATTCGTTACTGAATTTTGACAAAGATAATATTCCTGATGCGGTGATTGAGAAAATTCGAAAGGAATACTTGACTAATCCGGATTTCAATCCTGAGAAGATAAAGAAAGTGTCAGCAGCATGCGAGGGATTGTGTCGATGGGTATACGCAATGTCAGAATATGATAAAGTATCGAAAGTAGTTGCTCCGAAAAAGAAAGCTCTGGCAGAAGCTCAGGAGGTTTACAACGAAGCTATGAATAATTTAAAAGCAAAACGAGAACAACTTCGACAAGTACAGGTACAACGATTCTTTTTCACCATATTGATTTACCATATAATAATAACGAATAGTGAATAGTGAATAGTTAATAGTTAATAGTTGATGGTTCGATTTGAGAAGCTTTTTCTCCTGACGAGTCAATGTAAAATATGTATGTATGTATCGCGGGTTATATTAAAAAAATTTAGGAAAGGTTGAAAACGTTGGAAAATCTTTTGGAACAAAGAAAAATGGCTTTTCAAGCAATGTCCGACAAAGTGGCAGACTGCGAAATTAAGCTAAAACGTGCCGAAGACTTGATCGGAGGACTGGGTGGAGAATACACGCGTTGGTCCGATACAGCGAAATCTTTAGGAGAAAGGTACATTTTTTTCTATTTTTCATACATGCATAGGCATATGATGCATACATATTTTCATAATTCACACGGTATGTACACACTGTATGACATATATATACATACATACGTACGTATAATATAATCTTTATTTTATAACAAAAGTTGTGAACGTTTATAACAATAGATATCAGCGATTAATGGGTGATGTTGTGATTGCCTCGGGCGTAATCGCGTACCTAGCTCCATTCACAATGCCGTTTCGTCTTCGACAAATTGCTTTATGGGTAAAACGATGTACCGATTTACAAGTAATTTGTAGTTCAGACTTTCAATTACGTGATATTCTTGGAGACCCAGTATTAATCAGGTCTTGGAATATTTTCGGACTTCCGAACGATGCATTTTCGATCGACAACAGTATTATCATCAAGTAAGCAAGCAAATTCTTTCGTAATATTTTCGAAAAAGTTCTTCTTCTCTCTTTTATATCTTCTTCGTGATTTAATCTGCGATGTTTGTTATTATAACGCTAATCCTTAACTGCATTGGTTGCGTCGAACGTATAGAAATGCAAGAAGGTGGCCACTTATAATAGATCCTCAAGGTCAAGCCAACAGGTGGATAAAAAACATGGAAAAACAAAATAACGTGAATATTATTCGGCTAACTCAGCCAGATTACGGCCGAGTGTTGGAAAACGCGTTGCAACTTGGATTACCGGTACTTCTCGAACATGTTGACGAAGAATTGGACGCAATGCTCGAACCGATTTTACTTAAAGAAACATTCAAGCAAGCTGGTGTGCTCTGTATAAAATTTGGTGACGCAATTATCGAGTACAATAGTAATTTTAGGTGCGTGGATTCGTGGATTATTAGATAAAAGACGCATCGTGACGAAATTGCACTGCGCCGTTTTAATTATTCTTTCTCTCTGTTTCCCTTCCTTCCTTCCTCCCTCCCTCCCTCCCTCCCTCTCTCTCTTTCTCATTTTGTTCTCTCACTAGACTGTACATTACCACAAGATTAAGAAATCCACATTACTTACCAGAGATAGCGGTCAAAGTAACGTTGCTAAATTTTATGATAACACCAACCGGATTGGAAGACCAATTATTGGGCATTGTTGTAGCAAAGGAAAGACCAGATCTGGAATCAGAAAAGAATGTTTTGATTGTGCAGGGAGCTGCAAACAAAAGGTAAATATGCGTACATACTTTTATATATATATGTGTATATATTTACATTGCACACATGCATACTGTGTAATATGTAATTTTTTCGACTGTATTCGTGCGTATAAATTCTGTCTCCTTTTCTTTTGTTTAAAAATTAGGCTGTTGCGAGAAACAGAGGACAAAATCTTGGAAATATTATCGATTGCCGAGGGTAACATTCTGGAGGACGAAGAAGCGATAGATATCTTAACATCGTCTAAAAATTTGAGCGACGAAATTCAAGTGAAACAAACAGTAGCTGAACAAACAGAAAAATCAATCGACGAAGCCAGATTGCAGTACACGTCTATCGCCGTGTATTCGACCATATTGTTTTTTACCACTGGTATCAATCTTAATTTGTTTTACATAAACATGAACTACGATCACCCTTTTTGCTTTTGGTAATCCCACATAATAGATACTGGTTTCTTTTATTTCTTTTTTTTATCTTATAATAGAAGAACATTCTTTTCTCTTTTCCTTTTTTTTCTTTCTTTTTTATCGAAACACGACGTAATCATTATCTAAACCTAAACGATAATATAAAACTGAAAGACAGTGACAGATTGAAAGTAATGAAATATTGTTTCAGCCGTCTTGGTAAATATCGATCCCATGTATCAGTATTCATTGTCATGGTTTGTAAATTTGTTTGAACTGACCATTGATCATACGGAACCAGCGGAGACGGTCGAACAACGATTAAAAGATCTTATGAAATATTTCACGTATTCCCTGTACGCGAACATTTGTAGATCTTTATTCGAGAAGGACAAGTTACTGTTTTCTTTGTTACTGACGGTCAATTTGCTTAAACAACGAGGGCAACTTTCTCCATCGCATTGGATATTTTTGTTGACGGGTGGAATCGGTATCGATAATCCATACGTAAATCCGACAGCATGGCTACCGATTAAACAGTGGAACGAACTATGTAATCTTGACGAGGTGCAAGAGTTTTCAGTTAGTATGAAAAAGTGAATTCGACATTCAAAATCAAAATCGTTACCGTACACTGCATGCAGATATGTGTACGATTTGCTAAAAGAGCTGGCTTTCTATCCGTTTTCCGATTCCACTCCAGGGTATTCGAGAAGCATTTACTAATAATATCGTCGAATGGAAACGATTATTCGACTCGAAGGAACCACAAACCGAAGCCATCCCTTCGCCGTTTCAACATTTGGATCTATTTAAAAAAATGTTGATACTAAGATGCATTCGTCCCGATAAAATTCTCCCAGCGGCACAAAGTTTCGTTGAGGGTATCATCCATCCATATTTGATACTTCAGATTTTTTAAATAGCTTAAACTTACGCACTGATACTTTTACAGCGGAACTTGGTTCGCAATTTATCGAACCGCCACCGTTCGACTTGGCTTCCACTTATGCCGATTCAAATTGCTGCATTCCACTGATATTTATATTGACACCCGGTACTGATCCAGCGCAATTACTACTCACGTTTGCGGATGAACAAGGCTATAGCGTCAACCGCTTTTTCTCTATTTCTCTTGGTCAAGGTACAGTCCAATGAGTGACACTCTTACGTCAAATCTAAATCTCTGTTTCGATATTTTGTTACGTTTAACGTAAAAAGCGTGAGAATACACGGATACCGTTATACGAATAATTATTATACAGAGAATACACAGATTCCATTGCACGGATTACATCCCAATACGGATAACGTTATTAAACTTACATGTTATATTTGAATTGAACAGGACAAGGACCAATTGCCGAGGAAATAATTCAAACCGCTGTGATAGTTGGTAACTGGGTTGTTTTGCAAAACTGTCACTTGGCTGTCAGTTGGATGAGTACGTTGGAAAAAATTTGCGAAGGTCTGATGCCCGATACGATTCACCCAGAGTTTCGCCTTTGGTTAACAAGCTACCCGTCCGAACACTTTCCTACCTCGGTTCTAGAGAACAGTATAAAGATGACAAATGAACCACCAAAAGGTTTAAGGGCTAATATCATTAGATCGTACGCCAATGATCCGATTAGTGATCCGGATTTTTTCGAATCTTGCTCTCAAACTGAAAACTTCAAGAAGCTTCTTTATTCGTTGTGTTTTTTCCATGCTGTGATCCAGGAAAGACGACAATTTGGCTCGATCGGTTGGAACATTAGATACGAATTTAACGAGACCGATCTTCGAATCAGCGTTTTACAATTACATGCTTTTCTTGATCAGTTTGAAGATGTGAAATTCGATGCTCTCAAGTATTTGACTGGAGAATGCAACTACGGTGGAAGAGTTACAGATAATTGGGATCGCAGAACTTTAAATACTATTCTGTCGAAATTTTATTGCGAGTAAATTTATATACCTGTGTATATCTATTATTTTTACATATGTATATCTAGTACACGTAGTATCCAATTCTTCTAATTTTCATGATTTCAACCTTTCTAGAGAATCACTTGCCAAGAAATATTATTATTTCGATGATACTTCGACGATTTATTATTGCCCAAACGTACGAGAACACGAAGCGTTCGTTGAATACACCAAAAATTTACCCTTAATCACGGAACCGAGTGTTTTTGGGATGAACGAAAATGCGGATATTATCAAGGATCAGCGTGAAACGAACTTTTTATTTTCGTCGCTTCTGTTAACTCAGGTAATCTATTTTTTTTTTTTTTAAGTTTATCCTTTTTATATGGTTAAATCTTTTTATATGGTTAAATCTTTTTATATACATACATATTTATTTATTTTTACACGGCGACTTTGCTTAGGATCGTGTGGTATGTATAATGTGTATTACTAAAATAGATATTTACTTACTGATTGTCTGCTTTTGCTTTTCATCCAACATTATTTCTATGTATTATTTCTATACCTTTATACAGTGAGTACAAATAAATATCTTATGTCTCATTGAATCAAAATAATTTCATTTGCACTCGCTGTATTTAACAACTTGAAAAAATAATTTTTTCAATTCTCGCTGTTCTGTCTTCGCTGAATTAGGATCTCTGGCAATTGAGACAGGTTAGTAAATACATATAATTATAAATTATAAATATAGAAAAATTAATAGAAACAAATGGAACGAATGATCGAGTTACAATACATTTTTATTTCATTTTCATTTACCCGCAGGAGAGAATCGAGTCTCCAACTGGACAATTCACGAACGATGAGATAGTACTTAGAATGTCAAATGATATTTTAGAAAAATTGCCAGATGACTATGACCTTGTGTCGGCACTTAAAAAATACCCAATGTCTTACGAACAGAGTATGAATACTGTGTTAATACAAGAAATGGGAAGATTTAACAAACTTCTCAGCTATATTAAAGCCAGTTTGGAAAATGTTATACGAGCTATTAAAGGTCCTTCTACTTTTAACAAATTTTCTACATTACGTTTCGATTTTCTCATATTTTTATTTACAATTGTATATAGGTATTGTCGTCATGTCATTTGAATTAGAAGATATCTATGATGCTATTTTAATGAACAAGATACCTGCTTTATGGCAACAATATTCGTACCCATCGCTAAAGCCGCTTGGTAGTTACGTACACGATTTATTAAATCGTTTAAATTTCTTTAAAGTAAGATATCGTTTCTTACAATCAAATATTTTTAAATTAACGTTTTCATCTAGATTTAATTTATAAATCATTTCGATTTATAATATCATTTCGATAAATTGTATATTGTGTAAACTGATATGTATTGTAGGTATATGCAACATTTTGATAAATTTTTAAATTTTTCATAGTGTGACATACAGAAATTGTTATAGATAATTTGTATGTGGTAGACAAAAGATTATTAACATATTTTAAGAACGAATAACTTTTTGATCAAATGACTAATTCGACGGACCTTAAGTTGTTCAAAATTCAAATTGTCAGCCTCAATCTCAAAGTTGAAACTGTTCATCGATTTCTTACGGAACGTAAATCTTTCTGCTCGTTTCAACCGCGTTGTCCAATATAAACGTAGATTAAATTAAATCTCCAAATTGAATATAATTACTTTTATTATAGGAATGGTATGAAAAGGGAGCACCGAACATTTATTGGATCTCAGGGTTCTACTTTACTCAAGCATTCCTCACAGGGACCAGGCAAAATTATGCGAGAAAATATCAAATACCTATAGACCTTTTAATTTTTGACTTCTTTGTATTAGATTCTGATACAATATCCATACAACATCCTCCCGAGGATGGAGTTTATATACACGGATTATTTTTAGATGGAGCTAGATTTAATACGGAACAAATGATTTTAGACGAAAGTTTGCCAAAAGTACTTTATGAACCTATGCTTCCTGTAAGTATTACGTATACATATATCTATTAAGTCTATATATATATATTTCGTAAAAATCTGTATTTTTCCTCCTATTATCTAATTCATTGTTGTCGTTGTTGTTTTAGATGTGGTTGTTACCCATGAAAAAAGAAGATATAAAAGAAAGAGTAACATACGAATGTCCTGTATATAAAACTAGCGAAAGACGAGGAGTATTATCAACCACTGGACATTCAACAAATTTTGTTATCGCTATAACTTTACCTACATTGAAATCACAAGAACATTGGGTTATGAGAGGAGTCGCACTGCTTTGTCAGCTCTCTGAATAAAAACTATTTTTTCATTTCTTTCTCTTAAATTCATCTTTAAAACACATCAATCAATTAAATTTCTAATTAAAAAATTATATATATATATTATCTGACTTCAGAAACGTAATAATATTTAGAATTATATGCAATATCTAAATTGTGTGCTATAAATACCCAAACAAATACCCAATAAAACTTCAAAAATGTAGACTTGATCAATCAAGTTACAGTTACATGTGCATTTGTGCAATATGATGTACGATATATTTCCAATGCCTGTAAACCCTAAGGAGCAAATAAATATTCAAATAATCGGTGGTATTTGCAATATTACATATAGGAAATAGCTTTCTGTTAATTTCAAGATACTCAAATAAAGCCCATTGAAATTTAAATAAATTTCTTATTATATTTATACATGTGTGTAACTGCAAAGAATTGAACATTTTAAATTCTCATACTTACAATTTTATAGATGGCACAAGTAATAACGTCGTGTCGTGTCATGTGTCGTGTCGTGTCGTGTCGAGAAAATCCATTTAAAGATGGCTGCTAATCGAGGCAGGTGCTGCCGTGTAATGTCACTTTCGGATAGTGTTTCGATGTTGTAGCGTAGAAAGAAGTATCGAAAATTGTTAGCTACAGTTAACAAACTCAATATAGACAACTGAGAAATCACTTTAATAAAGAATGATCTAATATTTGATAGAAAAGATGAATTGTCATCAAATATTAAGTGGTGCGTGCAATGCAGGTGATCGGTGCTACGCTGTAGGCTCTGTCGAAGGGATTTCTTTTACTGTAAGTCAGTGTACCTTGTTATCAATTTTATCTACATATTAACGTATATTTACAATTACAAACAATATTTAAGTCGTTCAGAATATTTCGTACTCGTAAGAAGATCATCTATAAACTCCGAACTTGATCTCACATATATTTGACATATATATATTGTATTTTATATATTGTTAAATTAGTTGTTATTAACTTATATAGTTTTAGTTCTTATTGGTTAAGTATACATGGTTGTTGATTTTTACTTTACAAATCAAATGTTTGAATATTTGTTTTATGCGTATTTACAAAGATAATTCTGTATCATTTGATATAGATAGTCATTACTATTCATTACTATTGAATATTTTAAGACTCTCTTTAACAACATAGTATCATAAAATATATTCATGTATTGCAGGCATATGCAGCAGGCTGTAACATAGTAATTCTTGCCAGTAATTTTGAACGAGTTCAAATAATACCAGGAGCTGTGCATAACTACATAAGAATTAGTTGCTTGGACTGCAGTACAGACACAGGAAAAATAGCTGCAGCCTATGAAAATCAAGTTTGCATTTTTGAACCTACTCCACTTATTCATAGTACATGTTCTCATGTATGTATTTTTTATTTTTCAATACTTATTCCTGATAGCCACATTTATATATTTCAAAGTCTTATAGAATAAATCTTTTTTATAATGTGCAGCAATTAGAATATCGATGGGTTCAAACTGGTAGTCTAACAACTGAATCAAATATTAGTTCCCTATCATGGAATTTAGAAGGAACAAGATTATTAACTGGCGGGGAACTTTTACAATTATGGCATCAAAATATAACCCCATTTCAAGAAGAACATAGTAAGTCTTCTTCATTACTTTTGTTTAATTTATGTGTAATAATAATCTGTGTCCTTTCTATTTGAGTACACGCAATATTACTTTTGTGTTTTGTCACGATAATAAAATTGTATACAGTGATGAAGATAAATAGGTTACGAACTCAGGAAGGTGTTGTAACTGGACATGAAGAAAATACTTCAAATATTCTTCAAGACTGTGAGTTTTGTCATTTTAAAGAAGTACATGTGAAATGTGTTTGAAATTAACTTTAATGAACTTATTTCGCAGAAATTATTATATGATAAATAATATTCAAATTCTGAATATTCTAAAAGTATTAGAACCTGTAATTTGTTTTGCATATAGTAATTAAAAGAAATTGGTTTTTTTGCAATTTTAAACATAATGTGTTTCCAACATTATAATGCGATGCTTCTGTATTTTAATGTCTTGATATATCGTTGTTGCAGAAAAAACAATTGCAACAGTATTTAAAATAAAAAGGAATCCTGTGTTATATATATGTATATGGATTTCATTTTTTTTTTTCTTTTAGCTGGTACAGTCACCTTTTCAATTGGAGGAGATGCTGAAAGTCCTGCGCCTGGTGATTCAAGTAGTGGAAATGAACCAGGAGCATGGAACTGTGTTTGGAAATGTCGTACAGCTACACCAGTGCATCTCATGAGTTTCAGTCCAGATGGCACATTATTTGCGACAACGGGATTTAATGATAGATTGGTGAAGATATGGTTTGAAAATAAACAATGTAAGTTTCTTATGCTTATAACAAGACATTTCAATTCTGTAAATGATCACTTCAGAACAAACAACTCTAATAAATTTTTATTTGAAATTACTCAGTGTTTTCAACACGAAATATGGATCACGTAAATGTTACCCAATCTATGGGTAGTGACAGTTATAGTTTTGTTTATGTTGCTCATCCTCGTGCAGTAACCCATTTATCTTGGCGCAAGACTAGTAAATATATGCCAAAGTATGTAAAAAACCACCACCGTATAATGAAAATACCATGTAATAAATTATTTTTCACATTCAAATTAATAACATTTTTCTTCTTGTCTAGAGGATCTGTTTCCAACATGCTAGTTACATCTTGTAGAGACAACATCTGTCGAGTATGGGCAGAAACTATACCGCCTGAAGTTGAAGGTTTAGCAAATATGAGTCAATTTGAAGGGTCTGACAGACATGGCCATCATGGGAAACATCGACATCACAGCATGCATAAACATCGATTCATGCAGCGGCTCAAACACATGAAGTGTGTAAAATGATCTTTCTTCTTTCTATATTTATATTTTGTTTATTTAATATGATGATATACATGTCTTTTGTAGAACCTGTTTTCATATTCGTCGACATGCAAAACAACAGCATCAGGCAGGCCATACCACTGCACCAACTTTACCAACTTTGCCTTCAACATATTCGGTTCATGATTTTCACAATAATTACCAGGGAACAGGTCATTATCCAGGAATGCATTTTCATTTGGCAGCCAGTATTAATGCCGAAACTGGTACGATGATAGTCTTATTACAGTACACTGCGTACATATCTTCATCACATGTTTATAACATGTTTTTTGTTTATTATAGATATACCATTAGTACCAAGTTTAATCACAGGAGATCCTGAAAGGGAACCAAATTTTATTCTACATTGGTTAAATAATAAAGAAATGCATTTTACGATGCAAGCAGAAAGTATTTTACAAGAGCTTACTCGTAAAGTCGTAGAAAAAGAAGAAGGATTACATCAACAAGATGTAGATCATACAGATCATGAAACAGATCATGAAGAGGAAGGTTTATCTAGTACGTTTTATGAATAAACATACGTGTATGAATAAACATATGTATATGTGTATACGTTGATAAATAATTTGACCAATTGTATAATCGCAGAGAAGGGAGTAAAATTACAACCAGTACAGAAATCAGGAGGCACGGTTCGATCAATGAGTCAAGAAGATCATAGTAGTGATGAACATCACACAACACACACAATTTCATCGCATCATAGCTTACCACATAGCGCACATTCTCACCAAAGTCTTAGGTATAATATATCTAAACAATATGAAAAGACATTTTTCTTATCATATGCGACAAAATTTATTTACTTGTAAGAAAGAAATCAATATTTCGAATTTGTTCTGTTTTTTCTTTTTGCAGTAATACCACGTCCATTAATTCTATTGCGACAGATGTAACGTCTTCAATAAATCATGCTCCGGATTCATTAGATACCAAAATAGAAACGTTATTACGTGATTGGCATCACAATCCAGATTTACTTTTTTCAATTCATCCAATAGATGGAAGTTTTTTAATTTGGCATATTGAATGGTTGGACGAATATCATCCAGGATCATTTCGACAAGCACAAATATCATTTTCCACCAGAATACCTAATGCATTTCCTTTGGGCGATGCTTCTACAATGAGTCATAGTGTATCAATGTATTCCCACAATACAGGTGGTCCATTGTTAAATATACGAGAAGTGGCAAAATCATCCACAAAACCATCGAATGAAGGTAAATTCTCTCTCTCTCTCTCTCTCTCTCTCTCTCTCTCATATATATATATAATATATTTTTATATTGGGTATAAATTTTAATAAAAGTAAGAATTAACAAGTAATTAAAAACGACAAAATAAATCCTCAAATCATTACAGCTACTGATATTGCAACACCATTACCGAGTTTGATCGAACAGGATGAAGAGCAGTCGACATTAACATCAAAAACAGGCCAGGAACTGTTAAAAAATATTGAAAATTCGACAGATCAAAATGCCTCGAAAGAAAAAGACGGTCACTTGGAGAGTGGGAAATCAAATCAAGAAACGGTCGATTTTTTAGCCCATCCAAGTCCAATTGTTTCTATGGTGTCGAAACATTCGAACGGCACATTAAATTTATGGCAGTTAACATTTGCTGACAAAACAAAATTCTCACAAGTATGAATCAATAATCATCACAAATTTCTATTGTTTTTTTATTTGAAGAATTGTTTCTCTTTGTTATTTTCGTTATTTTACGCTCGTTGTTTTTCAATAACAGGTATTAAGTATTGGACACGCGTCGAGAGCTTCGGGACATCGATTTCGAGTGAACGATATTACTTGTCACCCAGTATTGCCTTTATTGGTGACTACATCGCATCACAATATACCAGAATCCGGTTCTCAGTGCCAGAACGCTGATTCAAACGAAAACGTTAGTAATAAATCAGACTCTAATAAAACAACTTCAAAAGATATCTCACCTACTGTAAGTACAAGTAATAATAATAATAATGACACGATATGTTTTATCATTAAATGAAATGTTACAATTCAAGGTGGATAACTATCAAGTGATGATCTCGTTTATATATTTATATTTTAGGGATTTTGCAGCGAATTAATACTTTGGCGTGTGGACACAGTCGGGCCTTTGTCGAAGAGCGGTGGAGTTTCCGAATTAGCGCGTATTAATTCTCCTGAAATTTCAGCGTTCAGTAACGTAGCTTGGATTCCAACTTTATTACCAAGCACCACCTTGGGTAATTTATCAAATTCTCCAAGCGCATGTTTCGTCGCCAGCGATGGCGAATGTTTAAGGGTATATCAAGCTGTTATCGACGCTAGAACACTGCTAGCAGAAGTATCGATTAGTGAAAGACGAAGTAGAATGATGGTCAGTATTCGATACATTTGCCAAGGATAATATAATTCGGAAACAGTTGTTAAATTGATTTGTCGGTTTCTGTGGTTGTATTCAGGATTCTATGGCAAGTCTCTCGACAGATATGTCATCGGACGATAGTATGAGACATTCGATTCATGATAGAATAAAAATTGTGTCCCAACAATCTACAGCTAGGCCAGGTTGCGTCATACAGCTGGATGCTATTTCTGATGCTACGCATGTAAGTGTTGAAAAAAGAAAACGGGGTAATAGAAAGTCGAAAAAATTGAAAATTTTCCATAACATAACAGCTGTAAAGTTGAACTTAAACCTGATGGATTAATAAACATAATTTTTGTTATAAATTTAGGACTGGCAAAATACACAATTCTTACATGTATTCCAAGAACAATTAATTACTGGGGATCGAAACGATGATAAACAAACTGGCGTAGATACATCGATAAATGACTTAGGGTTGATGGAATCTACCTTGGATGCTATGGTGGATTTGCAACAATCTGCGATTTTTGAAGAACCATTCTATATAGTTGTCTTAGAAAGAACGCAACAAGGTACAACGGTACATATGTGGCGTTTGGTGATAGCCTCTCAACCTGAAACTACCGGTATTTGATATTTCTATCGATCACGTTATTACATCAAAGTCATTTCAGTTTTTTCCTCGTTGTCTCGTTTTGTTTCTTCTATTTATTTATTTTATATATTACGTGTTCACTGGCAGCACTGTCAGAATCGATGATGTATGTTCCGGATTCTCATCTGGTACAAGATGAAGATGAAGACGGAACACCTGGCCGTTATAATCATCCAGAAGGTAAAAGATCTCGTAGAGCGAGTCAGTCTCGTCGTGATAGTCAGGGTGAACTAGATATGCTTTTTCAAAGACGACCTCAGAGCAGCCATGTTCTTATTACAACGACAAAAGTATGCACACAAGAATTGCCATTACCAGACGGAGTCGAGGTTCGTGTAACATTTATCTACCGCATCCTTTGTTTCCTTTTTCTTCTCTTTTGTGAGAAGATTATGATTTTAATTCATATAAATCGTGTATGTAAAGTCGAGTATGTTAAAAATAAAAAATATAAATGGAATAATATCATTGGTATAATCATATATATGTAGGTAATACATGCAGCACCAGCCGCTGGACATTTGAGCAGCTCTTCCATATATCCTGCTTGCTTCGCGCCATATATTGTTGTAACTGCATGTAGCGATAGTACGATACGTTTTTGGAAATGCAAAGTAACGAAAAATCAATCGAAAAGCAAGTTGGACTATGAATGGTGCGAATGGGAGATGATACGAAAAGATCAGGAATCAACCATAGACATTACAGGTAAATACGTAATTATCTTAATTGCATTAAAATAAAGTTGGAAAAAGTAGGGGAATGTATTATTGAAGAATATTAGATAATATTATTCATATTTTAGGGCAACCATTAAACATAAGTGCTGCATATAGTGGACGTATTGCATGTGCATACAAATATGGAAAGTCATTTACACGTCCTACCAAAAACGATCCTGACTCTAGATATGTAAATCTATGTGTTGCTATATATGAATGCGAAAGCACTGGTGGAAGTGAATGGATTCTAGAAGATACGATACACCTGAAGAATATACATTTACCAAGAATTCCGGTGGACCAACACTTAGATCTGAGTTATCTCTACGATAGTAAATTTTTGCAAAAGAAGAAAAGACTTACTCAAGTGTTGCAAACGCTTAGCCACGAAGACGTGAGATCACCGAGAAATGGAGAAAACGGGGAAACTACAAAGCCGAGCGCAGGTATTAAGATTATTATTTCAATTAAATAAATTTTGATACCAATTTTCATTAAATGATTAAAAATTGAAAAATATCGATTTTATAATAGGTTTGTTGGCTGTTCCGTCGTTTAGCACGCTTCAATCGTTGCGAAAATCGATCATAGAAAATGGAAACACTTGTCCACTTACTCAGAAACATCTAGTTCAGTTAGATTGGGTATCAAAAGAAGACGGTTCTCATATTTTGACCGTTGCTGTTGGGTCGAAAATTATGCTTTTCACGCCGGTGTGTTCCGATCTTGCCCAAGCAAATATGAAAGCGATGAAAGAATCACAGAGTAATAACCGGCCAATATTGCGCAAAGCTTCGTCATTGGCACAGCCTCAATTCGTTGATGAAATTCGTTGGATGAAATTACGAAAAATCGAGTTGACCACGGCGGATGGTCTACCACCGTTACCAATGCAGATATCTTGGGTGAGAGACGGTATCTTAGTAGTTGGCATGGATTCGGAAATGCACGTTTACTCACAATGGAAACCAAACCCGAAGAAGGATTGTTTCCATTCAAATTTACAACATCAAGAGTCGGACGAGTTTCAAGCTAGTCGAAATTTACGAGACGAGGATCTGCGAACGTTGGCGCATGAAACGTCGCAGAGGCGATTGGCAAATGTATCTTCGATGCCCCATCTTTCCCGGGTGAGCAGCATCAATTTAACGATGCTCGACGCTAAGAAAAAACGAGGAATGCAAAACGAGAACTTAAATTTTGACTATATGCCGGATTATGGTTTGTTCGAAGCTTCGAGAATCGCTTGTCCCGTTTTGCCTCAATATCATCCGAAACAATTAATGGAATTGTTAAATTCTGGTAAAATTCGATGGGTGAAGGCTATATTGGCACATCTTGTCCGATGTATAGGAAGTTCCTGTTCGTTGAGAGCAGACGACGAGAGTTTGGTAAAACAACGTGGAGGTGGGTGGTCCCGTTCTAGAACGATGTCGGTTAGTTACGTAGGTACAACGTCGCCTCTGGAACCAAGAGGCTCGACCACGCAAATACCGGAGGAACTTACGTTGGATTATGCGGAGATAACATCGATATCTCCGTTGCCGCTTTGGACTCTATTGATAGCGGACAAGGAAACTAACGTACCGCATCAACACAAAACCGAAGATAAACAGGATTACAATGAATTGTTTAACAGCAATATGGACGAAGGTGAATCGCTGGATGATATGTTGGAAGAAGGTTACGACTGTTCCCGACAGAAAGATAGACGTTCCTCAGTCCCGGAGAGACAAGGAATATCTCATTTTGGACCACGACAAGGCAGATTGTTGTCTCGATTGTTAACGCACACTCACTTGCCTGGCTTATCCAGCCTCGATCAAATGCACTTGCTCGCTTTGGCCGACACCGTCTCTACTTGCAATGTAGATTTTGCAGAAAGATTTGCAATAGATGCCGCGAAGAATGCCATTGCGAAAGAAAATTTGACCGGTATTCCCGACGGAGAAGCGGTCTCGACCGATTCGTTGGACGATTGCGGCCTTCGATTCTTATTAGCCATGAAACATTACAATTACTTGATTCGCTGTCTGCCGCTGGCGCAGAGAGCGCAGTTTCAAAAACAAGGAATATCGTCGAACAATCTTGTCTGGGCGTTTCACTCCGAATCTGAGGAGGAATTGTTAGGATTGATACCCTCTTATGCGAAAGGGCAACCAAAATGGAGCGTCTTAAAGGAACTCGGTATTGGTTGGTGGATCAGAAACAACACCATCCTGAAAAAATGCGTTGAAAAGATTGCGAAAGCTGCTTATCAACAGAAACAAGATCCTCTTGATGCCGCGCTTTATTACTTAGCTATGAAAAAGAAGAATCTCGTTTGGGGATTGTTTAGAAACAAGCGAGACGAAAGAATGACAACCTTCTTCGCGAACAACTTTACGGAAGATCGTTGGAGAAAAGCAGCCTTGAAGAATGCGTTTGCTCTACTTGGCAAACAAAGATTCGAGCATGCTGCGGCATTCTTTTTGTTGGCAAATGCACTAAAAGATGCTATCGACGTATGTTTGAATAAGTTGAACGATATACAATTAGCGATGGTTATCGCCAGACTTTATGACGACGATACTACTTCTTCAAATCTGAGAAGATTGCTGTATGAAGAAATTTTAGGCTGTGACAAGGACGGACAAAATCCGGATATGAACAAAGCTCATCCAGATCCATTCTTACGTAGTATGGCTCTTTGGATTCTTAAGGATTATGCAGGATCGCTCAACACTTTGCTGCTTACAAATGTTGGAACTTTGCATCCTCAATATAACGACGAATCTGATAAACCGGAGGGTACAACAGGTAAAGAAAAACCGACTATTTCGTTCAATTTTTTTTTTTTTTTTTTTTTTTTCATTCAATTTGACAAAGGAATGATCCCATCAGTCCCCCACCTAGGATAATGTGGCATATCTATCAAACAGAACAATTCAAATCTACCATATATTATTATATAATTAATATACTTGGATTTTTACTTCTTTTAGACTTATTGAAAGAAACGTCACCGTTTTCTCTTTTTCCTTCGTTCCAGCAAATCCAAATGTTTTCAATTTTTACGTTTACCTTCGAACACATCCATTGCTGATCAGACAATATATCGCATCTACTGCTCAAGATAAGAAGAAAGGTCATTCTGTAGTCATATCTGGATTTAGTTATGGTACAGAAACGAAATCACAACCTGACAAACAGTTAACTTTGGAAGATAGCATTACACCTTTGGAGAGACAATTGTATTTCACGACTGCACACGCTCATTTCAAAGCAGGCTGCCCTGCTCTTGCTCTCGAGGTTCTTTCTAAATTGCCTAACAAAGTGATGGAGACAAATTGCGAGGATTCGCCCAGTACGTAATCGCACAATTGGCACATGTACAATATTGCTGTTCCTTTGAAATTCTCTTGCTATTATATACTTTTATTATGCCATGGATTTTTTTTTTCTTAGGCCTGTTGAATAGTCCAAGTAAATCAAGGACACAAGATTTGCAAATAGACACCGGAATTATTAGTTGGGATGACAATTCGAAAAAAGCTGACAATGCCGAAGGTAGAATTTCATAATTATCTATAATTGGTAGATTTTTATTAGATAAATATAAAAAAACCGTGCAATCTATTCTTTATTGTATTAGCTATTATAGATTGGTCTCAACCTATGACACACCAAACTGAGGAAGAATTAGTGTTGAATTGGGATGACGATGATGAACATGAGGATACCGACAGCCCGCCTTTAAGCATGAAATTAGACAAAAAAGAAGTCACCGATGATTTGAAAGAAACACAACCGGAGAAAAACGGTAAGTTAATGTAATCCATCTACTGATTTCTTAATCTAATTTTGACAGAATTTTCATGCATTGAATCGTGTCCTTGTAAAATATTCTGAGAGTTCGTCGGAATTGCAGTATTACTTTATCAAAGATCTAAAAATATTGTGCCCTTATACAGAGAACAAGATTCACAACCAAAATCGTAAAATACAGATTCTAATAACTCGAGATAACTTTAAATAAAGAGCCTCTTCTATTTCTAGAAGAATATTTGTAAACAAAATTAATTAATTAACAATATGATTAATAATTTAATAATTTATTAATGTATTAATATCAATAATTTATAATATGATTTTTAGAAAAAATTGATAAATCGCCAGGACAATTAGACATTATGGCACAACAATTGAAGTTTGTGGCATGTTTGAAAATTTTAATGGAAGAATTATCAACGTTGGCAACGGGTTTCGAAGTAGACGGAGGTCAACTTCGATATCAGCTGTATGTATGGCTCGAGCGAGAAGTAGATGCTCTCAGACAGCTTTGTAATTATAGTGTTAGCTCGGATGGAGATGCAAACAACGCGTCGGAATGTAAGCGTAACAAACTTGTTATTCTATCTCGAATTAAACGATTCGATTTATTTCTGTTTACTTTAAATTGGCAAAGTGATTATATCTTCAGACGAAGGTGGTATGGTAGATGATGTGCAACCATGTAAATCTGGTGAACAACCAACGTTACATGAAATATTGATGGCCGAGAAATTAGATTTCGAAGCTAAGGTTCAACGAGCTGCTAGAAGGAAAAAGTGGTTGAAAGGTAATTTCTTTTACCAGTATTAATCTGTTTAAATACATATGGTATTTATGGTAAACATGTATTTACAGCGAACGAGACATTATTACGAACATTACTATCCTACTGTTCTTTGCACGGAGCATCCGGTGGTGGTTTAGCATCCGTGAGAATGGAACTTGTCCTTTTGCTACAAGAATTGCAACAAGAAAAGACTCAGCAGCAACTACTTAGCCCTCTTCCATTTCCAACCACGCTTCCACTTCTAAGCGCAAGTGTAGCGTGCAACAAAACTGTTGTGGCAGATCCGGTTAGACACTTGCAGGTTCGTATAATATCGAATTACGAGTTAAACTAGAAATGTAAAGTACTTCGAATGTTCTGACATCAAAATTGTTCTTTTAGTCTCTTGCTCACGATATGTTGCAGACATTGGTGGAATTACGTAACCCACCAATGCCTGCAAGAAACACGCATTATTGCGAAGTATTCATAATGAGAGATTTAGCGGTTGCTTTGAGTGCCTGTATTTATCAATCACTTTGTGATTCGGATACTTTTGTTATGAAACATCAACAGCCAGACAGGTAAGTTCAATAAATTGTAAAATTAATTATCATTCAAAAATTTTAAAATTATAGTTGATCGTAAATCTGTTTGTCTTTTTTTGTTTTTCTTTCTGTTTTCTTCTCTCTCTCTCTCTCTCTCTCTCTCTCTCTCTCTCTCTCGCTGTCTTTCGTTCTGTATTTTTTTTTTTTTTTTTT